TTTTTTTTTTTTTGGCCTTTTTTTATCTAACCCGTCTTTTTCGAAGGGGCTAAAAACTGAAAAAAAAAAAAAAAAAAAAAAAATGGAAAAGATTCTGCACCACATGCATTTGAGACGGTAATCACAGCAATGCAGAGTCAGTCTCCGGGACGTGCACAGACTTGAGATTCACATACATGAAGTACAAATTGGCCTGGCGGTGCAAGACTCTGTTAGAATAAATGCTGATTCGCCGAAACAAAAACAACGGCGAGAGGGGAGTAATGGCTACTAATTTAAATCCTGTTCTTTTATCTTGATAACATCCAGTTCTGCCTGATGAATGTAGGCAGAGAAATGTTGTTCAATCAGGAATTTTTTTTTTTTTCAGTTTTGCAAGTTAAACCTTCATCTTGTAAAATTTGATGTGATGTTCAGAATTTGTAAACTTTGACCCACGTTTCCCCCGTGGACTGTTGCACATTTTTACAATTTTTTTTTTCATGCTAATAGTAATAATAATAGTAATAGTGGAAATCAATGGGTTTAAAGTGGCATATGTACTTTGTTTTGCCGTAACATAGTGTTTATTATCAGATCATTGCCATTGAATTAATTCCGTCATTGACTTTCCATAAATTGCATTTGAAGCAAAATAATTATGAAATTGAGCCACTAATCAGTGGAAGATTGTACCTAATTAAAAGAACTGTAATATGGATCGATAATGTAATGTTTATTGGTTGTTTTACAATTGATGACTGATGTTTTATGATGTAAAGCACTTTGAACCGCTGAAATGTGCTATGCAGAAAATTTGACTTGATAAGGTGGGACCTGTCCGGCCCACTTTGTGGGCTTGGACCACTAAAAATAGGTTTAGTGTCTTCAAAGCACATTATTTAACTGCTATGTAACCATTTCTGCTGAGCACAGCTGTTGGTGGCCACAGTGCATGGATTAGGACAGTAATTATTATCCTTGAATATTTAAAATTGGCCAGGTATTAATATGAATGGCCCATTTTCTTTTGGGTCAGTTCTGTTAGCCGAGTCTCTTTGTTTTGTGTGCAAGTAGTGAACTGTCTGCTCTGCGCTATAATTATCTTGGTCTGTGCCTTGACTATTTTTTTTCCCACACTGTGACTTGGTACAGTGGAGGTTTAGTACCCAGTGGTGTCCAGATGGAAACCTGTTACAGATTCTTTCATACTGTGGACAGAAATTCTTGCAACACAGTTTGGCATTTGTTAGCAATTCTTAACAAGGTAGAAAAGGTGGAAAGACCTTCATCCCTTCAAACCCGTTTTAACTGAACAAAGAACATTAAACTACAATGATTTCTACTGGGATTCTCCGTCAAAGTTTAATATGATGTGTAAAGTGTTTTGCTGCTATTGGAAGAGCAATTAGTCTAACCCAGCGTTTTCATCTGCAATAAAGCTGCAGTATGTAGCTTTTATTTAAAAAAAAGTTTTTACATATTTGTTAAAACTGCCACCATGTAGTGACAATATAATCTGTGTACAAATTTAGTTTTTCTGCCGTTTTCCTATGGACCTGCTGACATGCACAAATGCGTTGTTCAGTCAAACAACCAATCAGAGCCAGGAGGAAGGTCTAAGATCTGTCAATCACCCTCATGTACGTGCTGCTCTCATCACTTGTCCCCTTTCCTCTCTGCTACACTACAGCTGGTTCATCACAACAGAGCCTGCCACGAATGCTCAGGCTAGTTAGCATGACAAATAAGCTGTTTTCCTGGAACAATAAGTTGTTTCTTTACTATTAACACATTTAGCGGCACATACACAAGCATGATTGACTACACTAAGGCTTTCCTCCTGACTCTGATTGGTTGTTTCTTGACCAGGGGCTTTTCTGCAGATGGCAATTTTCCAGTACACTGCAAATATCCAGCACATTTCATGACAGACACAACAATTATTCTGTAACACATGAAGTGTTGCTTTCTCTCACTCTCTTGCAGCCTTAAGGCTTTCCCTTACTTTATCCAAAATGTCAAAATCGGATCTCATTGACGTTGTTGCGTGACAAAAATTGCACCGTTTTGTTCACAGGAAGGCGTTCTCTTAACACCCGGCTCAGGTCGGATTCTTTTAACGAAGCTCTGGGTGCTCTCTCGCCGTGATCACTTTGTTTCCTATAAAAACATGACAGTGAAAATAAAATGGTAGATAGTCCTCTTCGCCCAGTATGTGTTCACACTGAATGGTTTTGCCATTTCAACCTCGTGGCACTGTGGCGTTCACGAAGAAGATGAATGTTTTATTGATTTATTTTTTGCATTTTGACCCAGTTGAAATTGACAGATTTTATTCTCTCTATGTCCTTGATAAAAGCTCCATCTCCTGGTTTTCCCTCCAAGGATATTTATTTAAGCACAATATTTTTTTCTGGCAATTTTCTGTTCCAAATAGTGTGGCTTAAAAAAAATGCTCGCAGCAACACCTCCTTCCTTTTTTATATTGAAAGGAAAAATATGATGATACAGTCCAACTTGCTATCAGAACACAAAGACTTATTCTTTTCAAAGCCTGTTATTTGGATAAGCTGGGCTGATGACTCACACCGCGAGCAATTTTCAAGAAGAGGATTTTTAATTACACAAGGTCAAAAATAAGTAGAGGTAACGGAGTGAATTTACTCTCTTTACAGATGGTATTCATATTTTCAGGAAATTCTGAACTGCATGGCGGGTTTTTTTTTGTTGTTGTTTTTTTCGATTCATGGAGATGAAGAGGATCTTACTTGCACCATTGAATCACTACTGTTCGAGTGTGGACGGTTGTTGTGAAGTGATACAACTGCAGTGTGGTTTTCTGCCTGTGGTGGAGGGTCATTAGTCGGATATTACGGCTGCAGCCTTGGTGACGGACTTCTCCTGCCTGAATCCCTCAGGTAGAAGCCTGATCTAGATCCCTCCAGACGAAGCCGCTAGACTTTTTTTAAAGGGGAAAAAGTGACTCTTTATGTGATCCATTATAATTGAACTGACAATGAGTTCATTATCACGTAAAGATTCGAATGTGTTATTCACTGCAGCAAAGGAGAGTTTCTTTGATATGAATGTTCCATCTATCATCTACACTGGCTTGTGTATTCAGGGCTGCAGGAGGGGGGGGGGGCTGCTACCCATCTCCATCTGTCGTTGGGTAACAGGCGGGACACACCCCCGGACAGGTCACCTGTCCATCAGAGACACACAAAAACACACTCATGCAGAACCTTGGAGACTAATTACCTTAATGGTCATGCTTTGCACTGTGGCAGGAGAAGAAAAAAGGAAAGTGAAAAAAAAAAAAAGTCTCATAATGACTCTCAAAAACTTGTCTATGAATCTGTTCTACTAAAAATGCACAGCTTTAGCTTCCCCTGATTTAAATTCTGTAAAAAAATAAAATAAAAAAATATCAATTAAGCACCTTTTGCTTATTTGAATACTCAACAGATTAGCCCTTTGATGTTAAGTCCTGCAGAAAGCACAAATCTGCTCACATTTTGACGTTAGAAGTACAGCTCTGGAAAAAAATCAAGAGACCTCTGCACTGAACCCCATCGAAAACCCCACAGTAAAAACATTAATATTGTTTCTAAATGAATATGAACTTGTTTTCTTTGCATTATTTGAGGTCTGTAAGCGCTGCATCTTTTTCGTGATTTTGACCATTTCTTATTTTCTACAAATAAATAACAAATTTATGCTCAGGCTTTCGGAGACATGTCAGTAGTTCATAGAATAAAATATATATATATATATATATATATATATATATATATATATTTTCAGAGCTGAATGTTATTTAGCTAAAGATGAATCCTGAGGTGCAATCTTAATTTCCCTATGGGATTAATAAAGTTTTTTACCTTTACCTCATCTTACCTTTTCTGCAAATGACAAAGCGTTCACCAAAAGCAATGCTGTAGCCTTGCATTTTAGGCAATAACATGTTTGTTTCTGTATTTTAAAAATGTAATCTACCTTTTAATGTGTCTCTAAATGAAAAATTAGCAGACTGTGCCAATTAATTTTTTCCCATTAGTTATCAGAATATTGTTAGTCGTTTTGTCGCAGCCCTTGTGATGATGTTGTTCTGTCCTGTGTCGTCTTCAGCTCACCACCGTCCTCCGTTTGCTGGCTGCCGATCCTCTGCTGGTGCACTGCTGCGACGAGGACGGCTACACCCCGCTGCACCGTGCGGCGTACAGCGGCCACGTTGAAGTCGTGAAGACTCTTCTGGCCGCCGGCTCTGTGGTAAATCACCGCACGGTCGACGGCTGGACGCCCCTGCACAGCGCCTGCCGATGGAGCCACGTCGCCGTGGCGAGTTGCCTCCTGCAACACGGCGCCCAGCTTAACGCCCAGACCAACGGTGGCCTCACACCGCTGCACTTGGCCGCCTCCCACTCAAACTCCTCCAAGCCGAACACGGCGCATGTTTTAGAGTTCCTCCTCTCCAAGAGGAACCTGAAGCCCGGGCTCCGCAGCAGCAGCGGGGAAACGGCCGGCGATGTGGCCCGACGCAGCGGCCCATATTACTTTTTGTTTGAGATGGTAGAGGACTGCGTTAACGCGGTCCCGTCTGTTACAGCATCTTAATCTGACTTGTTTTTATGTTTCTTTGAGATAAAGAATCTCCGCAGCATGATGCGATACCTGGGGATGGTATGGCTAGGATGAGGATCAGCTGCCTCAGCTGATGCTCTTCATGTGGTACAAAAGTGAAATTTTGTCACATCTTCAACACTTTTATTGAATCTCTGCAGGACTTAACTTTAGACTTCTTGGTTCTTTCTTTTACCAGTGGATCTCTTTTTTTCCACTCTTTCTATAAATAGCAGATTGGTGGAGAGCACCGCAGAGCCGTGCCTTTGCCATCAATAGTAAGCACTACTTTTGTCAGTCTGTCGCGTAAAATCTGAAAAAATTCAGTTAGTTTTGAATACAAACTGTGAAAAGACCAAGGGACATGAACCCTTCTGTAAGGCACTGCAAGATATCTGATTCAGTCAAAGTTGGGTCAGCCTGTGAATGAACTACTTGCTTTGTTGTTGCAGCTGTATGATAGGTTAAGTATGGTTAAATGAAGCTACAAATAAAGACTTGAAATTGAACCTTGTATTTCTTTCCATTATTTTTATTAAGTTTTATTCGTGAGTAAGACGGATCACTGCACAGTACAGACACCGTCCCATGAGAAATGCAAATTGTTTACTTTCAGCATCTTCTTCCTCCTTTATTGTTACTGGGTGGCATGTCCTTTAAGTCCTGGGTTTCAATCTTCCACCTGGGAGCTTCAGCTTTCTCCCACATCCAAAAACTTTAAAGTTAATTAGTCTCTCTACATTACCCTTAGTTGTGGCTGTTAGTCCTCTGTGTCTCTGTGGTGGACTGGTGACCTGTCCAGGTTGCCGGAGACCAGCTCCTCCACAGACCTGCATGGACAAGTGAGTGTGAACAATGGATGGAGGCATTGTCGCCCCGAAAGGTTGCCAAGCAACAATATATTCCTGCATCTCAGCCTAGTAGACTCATTTTGTGACTTGTCTTAAGATTTGAGAACTAAGCCAAATGCAGTATATGTTTTTGCTTTTGTGAAATCTACAGATGCATTTTCCCTCTTTAAGTTCAAATTAGCCACAATACAATTTATTAAATTTGTTTCAAACAATGCTTAGATTTTTGGCATCATTAGCCAGTTTAGCTACAAGTGGTTGTAGGTCATTTCTATCTTAATTTGTTGCAGGCCAATTGTGAACCTAGTGAAGCTGATTTGTGAGTGCAGTAAAACACCAAGTGATCTGCTGAGTGCATATTTATTCAGAGCTAAGGGTTCTTATTCAGCTCTGCGAGTGGACTCACTCAGTGCTTTCTCTAGAGACAATCTCTGATTCAAAATGCAGCAGCTGAGCTCTTAACTGGAAGCTGGAAGTGAGAGCGACGTGTAACCCCAGTATTGGCTGCCAGTCTCTTATCGGATTGAGTTTAAAGTTCTTCTGGTGGTTTTTAAAGCTGTAAATGTCCTACCTATTTTACTTTAAGTTTTTATTCTTTTGTGGGGGGGGAGGGGCGAGTGTTCTGTGGTTTTATGAATACTGTACTGCACTTTGATGCAGTAAATACCTGTTTTTAAAACATTTTATAAATAAATGGACATTGACACAGAGGTGGAGAAACTCTCAAGAGAAAAATATTTGTAATTTATTTCTGTACATCTTCATCAAGGACATATGTAACTATACAAGCTGAGAGTAAATTAAACACTGCAGCAAAACAAAGTGTCTAAAATGTTTCTACTTGCAGGTGACTATATAATTTTTATTATATGTAATATACATTTAATGATGATCAACCAGACGTACTGGGAAGCTGCTGATGTGACTCAATAGAAATGACAAAATACAGTTATAGTTATACATGGTGTTACCATGGCAACCAGTCATTTCCTTTAATTATAAGGTTAGTTGGATTAGATTACAGATATAATTTACTCAAGTGATTAATTATGTTTGCAAGTTGTTTAAATCGATTACTCTCAGTCATCTTACAGCTTTTTTTTCTTTTTTGAACTTAAATGCTTCTGAGATGAAAAGCTGGTTGTGGTCGCCTTACACACACGTGAAACCTGGCTGCACTGATCGGACAAGCAGACCGGTCTGCGCCTCTCTCTCTCTCTCTCAAACTAGCGTCATGAAAATGTAAACTTCCAGCACATTTCTGTTGCCGATTTAAGCGTTTTCACACACGCATAAATCCTCCCACGATGGAGATTTTGGGCCTTGCCGACGACGTTCTCTGATGCCCTGCAAACTTCAACAATACAACTGTAAAAAGTCAATTTATCCCGAAAAAATGTCATATTTTTAGCTTTCATTTCTAGGCTTTCTTTCGACTCTCATTGAACTTTATCGAACCCTCTTTACTGTTCACCTTCATCGTGCCACTTGTGCTCTCTGCAGCTTTGGTTTGTGATCTGCTCCACCATGTGCTCCACTCAGTCTGCTGCACTTTTACTAAAAAAAAAAAAAAAAAAATCTGTGGTTACCATAACAACTATAATGTTAAAATAATTTTTAATAACAAGTCAATTAAAAGCATAAAAATACTTCGACATTGAGTCTAAGCTGGAAGAAGGCCTCAGATTTGTCACTTCAAAAACACCTGCTAATTCATGCTACACTTACTTCAAATTGTAATGTGTGCATGATGAGGAATTTAATTACTTTGTGAAAAAAAAAAAAAACTAGTCGAGTGGTTTAACATTTAATCAGTGCGGCAGCTGGTGACATTATGTTAGAACACTTTGCAGTCACTTATAAACTTCATTTCAGAGTAAATGTGAAAGGTGACACAAGGTCAGTGTTGCAACAATTTTAGTGTTTAGAATTTGAGACAATTTTGTTTCCTGAGCCACCGTAACAATATTCGTGACAAATGTCAATCCGCTTACATACTGGATACGATTTTAGCAGAAAACGACCAGAGAGACTGAGAGGGGGAAAAAAAGTCAAAAACAAGGAACGCAGGATAAACATACGTACACGCAAACAAACGTATGTACAAAATCGAAATGTAAAACTAAAAAATGGGATGTTACGTGATTTTAATTGGCGCCTCTGACACCCCCACAGAGGCTTTTGAGCAGCACGTCTTAAAAAAAAAAAAAAAATCACAGCCTGTTTTGTTCACGCACCCAGCATGTTACCTGTTTTATCTAACAAACCCTTTTACAATAACTGGAGGTGACTGTAATGGCTGCTGCAGCTTCCGGCTGAAACTTTGCAAACTCTTCCAAAGATTTTGTAACAATTACAGATACGGCATCATCTGGTTTTGGTTTGCTACATGATATGATTTTGCAGACGTTTCCTGCCCCGTGAAGATCAGCACACGTTTTGAGCACAGAAATTGCTCTGAATGAGCCACGAAAACTGTCTGCAGAGACTAATCAAAATAATCATATATTTCAGCATCATTTGCAATAGATTATTCTCTGAGTGAAAAAAAAAAAACAGCAGAAAGTTTCAGCATTTATATCCATTTGTATGTCTCTGGTTACTGAATAAATCTGATGGAAAGGAGTTATGAGAGTGTTTTATTTGTTGACCTGTTAATACTTGTGCTGTAGTTTTTGTTCTGCTACTTAGAGTAAGCAAAGCCTCTAATTATTTCAAATATAAACTTAAATTCCTGACAAATGAGACTGAAATTACATTTCTTGATTTTTTTTGTCAGAGTACAGTGACTACAACTCAAGTGTCAGCAAGCCACAAGACAACAGATAAAAGATGACTTTAGATGATGTTTCAAGAGGACATCTTGATTTTGTAAGCAGGAGAATTTCTTGAAATGACTCTGGAGTCAACATCTCCAGAGTCATTTTTTTTGACTGTGAGAAAGATGAGAAGACATAAATATCTCAAGATTGCATTCAATTTCTTGCTATTGTAGCACAGTCAGCACATTGAACGATTGTCATTATAGCATCATCGTGCTGCTTTACAAAAAAAAAAAAAAAAGTGAAATTGCTCAATGATTCCAGTTACTGGAGCGGCACAAAAAAATAAAATAATAAAGCCAAAATTTCAATGCAGAACACCTAATGGAAATTATGCTTGAAAAGGATATGCTGTGATATCGCTTAGCAACGGGAAAAAATTGTCCTGATACAAAGACTGATGCCTCTAACACAGGTTTGGCATCGCCCCAGATAAATTAAAAAAAAAAAAACAGCAGATCAGAGTGGTCTTTAACTCCCACGAGGGCCATTTGCACTTGTTCGTTGTGCAAATAGCATAACAAACAAGCAGTTTGACCAAAGGTTAAATTTAATCAGCGCCCTCCCTGGTGTTATTACCGAGAACAGGCAGGAAGAAGAGGTTATAATGGCAGATATGGAGGAAATGTTCTATCAAGTGACCGTCCCAGAGGAGGACTTTCATGTTTTCTCCGGCAGACATCAGGGGGATACAACTCAGGAGATTGTTGAGCACAACATCTCTGCTGTGCTCCACTCAGAGCTATAAATGTTCTCTGAACCCTGCGGACTTCACTTCGACAACACTCGGGGCGGACCAGCTGGAACAAAGTCACCCTCGGTTGTAGAGGTCAAACTATGTCATCAAACCTGAGGAAGAGTGAACAAATAGCATCAATAAACAAATCTTCACCAACCCAAAAGTAAGAAATGCTTTGGATTTGAATTTAAGGCAGGTAGTAGCATTTTCCATCTATCAATTTTGTACTGGTTGCATTCAGTTCTTCCCATTTTAAATTGTATTCAAGTCAAGTAATTGACTTATTAAAGTTTTACTCTTCTTTTTCTAAACCCCATGAAGATTTTCTTGGCTATGTTCTTGTTTTTGTCTCCTTCTTTCATTTATACGAAGTCTGTTGCCGCCATGTGATTTTAAACGGCCCGTATCGTAATTTTTCCAACTGCACTCGTCACTTTCAGCTTTGATCTCATCTGACCACAGTATTTTTTTTTCTCAGCGTTTCAACTGGCTTCTCCAAATGTTCAGCAGGAAACGTTAAACAAGCAACTTTTCTTTTTCAGCAGTGGAGTCTTGAGCAGTGGATGTTCGTAGAGGCCATTGTGGTTGATGAGTGTTAATTGGGAAAAAACTGCACCTGGTATTTAGAAGTCTGTCTGAAGATTTCTGCAGGAGCTCCTTGAGCAGCTCTGATGATTATTCATCCTTCAAAGGGCAACTGACCACGGCTGGTTTATAGGTTAATGATTTTCTGTCTCCTTCCTGATTATGACTTCAAATACGGAAAAGGATTAGGGCCACCGAAAAAAAAAAAAAGAATTCTGACTTTAATCTCAGAATTCTGACTTTAATCTCAGAATTCTGACTTTAATCTCAGAATTCTCAGAATTCAGAATTTCAGAAGTCACTTAAATCAGACATATTTCTCCAGAACGTTAGCTGTCCGCCACAACTCGCATCTGTGATTCTGAAGCTGGTTGCTTGCTGGCACCCATCAGCTAGGATTCTGACATTAAAGTCAGAATTCTAAGATTAAAGTCAGAATTCTGACATTGAAGTCAGAATTCTAAGATTAAAGTCAGAATTCTGACATTAAAGTCAGAATTCTAAGATTAAAG